GAGCTGCAGACGCTCGGTGCTCGGTGCTCGGACTGCACTGTCTGAAGAAGCTGCGGGTAGCAGGGAGGGTCCGAGCTGTGCTGGGGCCTCCGCGCGGGAGAGAGACGGATCGCCCCGGCCTCGCCAAGTTGTCAGGCGTCTCTAGCAGCCCGTGGGAGTGGCGCCGCCGACAGGTGAAGGGCGCGCGGGGCAGTCTGTGGCGGGGCGTGCCCGGGGGGTGATGGTGTTGCTGCGACCGTTCTGGGACCGGGACGGGAGAGCTTGGGAACCAGCTCAACTGCGTGGAAGCGAGGGAGTTAGGTCTAGACCGAAAGCTCCTAGTCCCAGCGGAGCAGCCAGGCTGGAGCGGTGAGAGATGCCAAAACGTCTCGCTCCTTCTTTCCAGTGCGCGACCGTCTTCCGATTGCGCTCTGCAGAGCTGGGACCCCGGCCGGGCACCCTCGCCCAGTGGGAGCCCTCATAGCTGGGAAGAAAGGGCGTCGTTTAGCGCCCAGGGGTGCCCGCCCGCGCGCACACAGGCCCCTCCCGGTGCCGCTGCGGGAACCGTCCCGGAGGAAGGCCGGGACTTGGGGTCCAGGGCACCCGGTGTCCGGCACTTCCTTCCGGGTTCCCGGGAGGTTTCCTGGGAGTCTCCAAGCCACAGGAAAGCTGACTTCAAAAATTAGTAAAACTAAAAATGCGTCTGCGAATGCAGTCACAAAGTAGTGATTAAGTCATTTTGTAACCAATTAACAATTAGGCAAATCCTTCAGCGTAGCCTGGAGCTGACGCTGGTCTCTGGGGCTGTGCGGGCGCGCGGGTGCACGCCCCTCCTCGCAACTTGCGCGTGGGAAGGCCAGGTGTGCTGCTGTTCCGGCTGTTTGTGCGGAGCTGGGGCAGGTGTAGCGAGCAGACCTCCGCTTCATCCTTCAGGACCCTGGACGCCCTGCCGCCCCCTGCCGGCTTCGGCCACGTCGGCTTTACTCGGAAACCCTGCTGCGGGGAGCACCCGGGCAGCGGGATGGGCAGGGGAGGGTCCTGGTTCCCCGGGGGGTTTTTGCAGGGGCTGGATCTGAACCCCCTGCGTCTGTCCCGCAGGCTTTGCGCTGCAGATCCAGTGCTACCAGTGTGAAGAGTTCCAGCTGAACAACGACTGCTCCTCCCCGGAGTTCATCGTGAACTGCACGGTGAACGTCCAGGACATGTGTCAGAAAGAAGTGATGGAGCAAAGTGCGGGTAAGAGCCCGCAGCTCTCCCTCTCCCAGCCTGGGCCGCTGTGGCTGAGGGAGCCACTAAATTACAGGAAAGGGGACTGACTCTGATTCATGCCTACAAGCTGGTTATCACAGATTTACGTTCACAGTGCTGGGAAAATGAAGAGTTCCAAGTTACTTTAATCTCATTAGGCTTAATTACCAGGGCTTCTCCTCCAGGGACTCGGGCAGGAAAGTGCATTTAATGAGTGGCTCTCCTCTTTTTATTTACTCCGCTCGCTCACTCCCTCTGCTAACAGCTGATCAGGAGGCTGGAGAATATATGGATAACCAGCTCTGCTTGGACAACTAGACGGTGCCCTGTGCGCGGTGTCAGCCTGAAATATGAAGCTAGTTGAAGTTCCCAGAGGTCAGAGCTTGAAAAATGTGTTATGTCACAGAGCCACCCGTATTTCTCCGAGAAACACTGCAGGGTCTTCATTCAATTTTAGAACTAGCCCATCACATTCCAGGCACAGATTGCCAAGAGCTTTCGAAGGAATGCGGTTCCCAGCCCCACGGGCTTAGTGGCTGGCTGGCCGACTGGCTGGTGGATGAGAGGGCCTGGGCGCTATGTGAGGGAAGAAGGGGGTCTGGGGAGAGGAAACCTCCTTGTTCACTCCAGCTGACCAGTCTTCTCACTGAGGTGGACTCCCCAGCTCCTCCCAGCATTCTTATCAGAAATCAAAGCCCCTAAAAGTGCAATTGGAACTTTGGGGAGACGGGTGGAACTCTAGCTTCACTTCCAAGGTCAAACTCATAGACAAAATCTGCCATTTTAAGAATATTGAGAAAATGGGAAATAGCATCTGTTGGGGGGAGAGCCCCCAAAGTCTCAATTCAGGATTGACTCCGAAAAACTGACATGTAGCCTTATTCAAATTCCTAAGAGCTTTAATAACTTACATACCCGGAAAAGCCACTCCTCCAGTGGTGGCCGGCCTGGACGAGTCCACGCAGAACAGGGTCTCTAGGTGGTTAATAGTAAACCTATGGGGTGGGTAGTCATGTAGACCCCAGGAAGGACAATGGATTCCTCAGTTAACAGATATGATCAGGCAGTTAGCACACTCTGTGCATTCACTAGGCTCCTTCTTGGAGCCTGACCTTTATCTCTGGGGTGTCTTCCCCGTTTCTGGTAGTCAGCCATGCCGGAGGCTACAGAAAGTTAAGAGTTAAACAGAGTCCAACATTTCCCAGATACCTTTCAGAGCCCTGCTCCTCTTTGGTTTGCTGAACTGCACTGCCCACAGAGCCTGAAGAAGGGAATGAACCATCAAATGACCTCCTTTTTAAAAAAAATGAATTTATAGGGGTGACATTGGTTAACAAAATTATACAGATTTCCATAGTGCCTATTGTGGGGGACCCCAGTCTTATGAGAGTTCAAGCCACTGCTCTGGGAGACATCCCAGTCCAGTGGGAGAAACTCCATTTCTGATTAGGGTGGAGGACTTTAAAAAATTATACAGGTTTCAGGTATACAGTTCTACAATACATCATCTCTGTATTGCATTGTGTGTTTACCACCCCAAGTCAGATTTCCTTCCATCATCATTTATACCCCCTTTACCTTCTCCTATTCCCCCCACACATCCCCTTCCTCTGGCAATGATCAGTTAAATGACCTCCTTAACCAATTGGCAAGTTAAAGCAAGGGCTGTAGTTCTTAAGCCAGCGCCTTGGAAAAGTAATGTCTTCTTGGAGAAGGGCCTGGAAATGCCTTGTTGCTAACTGCAGTTATTTGGAGAGCAGATGGCTCCTCACTGTGCTATGATTTGGTGGCTGTGTGGTGTTAAAGGCTGTTCTCTATAGGTCCTTACTGGTCTAGGTCTGGATTCTTGCTGCCAAAATCCCTCTTCTGGGAAATCTGAAGTGTAATTGCTCACAAGAATAACCTGTCCCCAGATAAGCAGGATGCATGGCTTTGTCATGCGGGATTCTGGCTATTGAAAAAGTAAAAGAGAACAAAACTTAGTGATGATCCTTTATTCGAGATTGAAAAAGATGATTTCGACAAGCTGCTGCTTCTCTACATGTTTCGTTCCCGAGCACTGCACCTGAGCAAAAGTTACTGCCCTTCTGCCAAAGGGGCTGCTGTGATGTGAACCGGGCTCCCTCTGAACACTCTGTCACTTTAGAATATGTGTAGCTTTCTTCCGGGCAGTAGGTTAGAGCCAGCAAAAGGGGCGCTGTACTGTGGACACATTAGGAACTTCAGACTCCTCGAGGCGGCTGCTTACCTGGGTATCCTGTTTTATAAACCTGGGGTCTGGTGGAGATAAGGAGAGAGCTATGCCAGAAGTGGTGTCCTTTTTTGAAGAGAAATTTCCTCTCTAAAAGTATGCCTAAGATGAATACCACACATCATTTCAGTGTGCTGTGTGTCATCGACTTCATTCTCTTCTCCGAGCCACACTGTAAAAAAGGCCCAGCAGGCATTGTAACACCCACTTATCCACAGACAACTGCAGCTCAGACAGTGGCAAGTGCCTGGCCTGAAGTTGCTATTAGTTTGGTCAAGATGAACACCTTCTCTCCAAACTAGGTTCCTCTGGCCATATGTCCTAGGCCCAGGGGGGACAGAGATGGAAGTGGTAAGGTAGTTTCATTTGTGAAGGCTGAGAAACAAACAGTTGATGGGCATGAAGGAAAAACCAGTTATGAGGGGAAGGATGGGAGTCGTGTGCACGTGGAAACAGGGCGTTTCAGAGCCTGAATTCAATAGAAAGCAGACAAATACATGTTCCTGAATCTGAAGAACGATGTTCGGGGGGGCTGGTAATTCAAAGCACTTCCATTTTCATCGCCAGGTAATTGTGAGAGGCCAATCAATTAAGTGACTATTAATTCTCCTCTTGTTGGTAGCGATGGAGAGCCAACCATTGCTGATTTTTAAGTGACCGCAGTGTAGTACAATCATGGAGGGCTGTCTTCTGGGTGTGCTCAGGGCTTCCAGCTCTACCTTCAGGCTCCGCGCTCTACTTAGAGTATTTCATGCAGTCTGGTGGTCAGTCCTCTTTGGAAGCCCTTGCTTCTTGAGGCCACCAGCAATCAATTCTACTGCAGGGCCAACTTGTCCAATCTGGAGAAGATAATGCCTGCTATAAGTGATACTATTAGGAATCAAATGATACTATTAGGAGTCAATGTTTGTTTGCTTGATCAGTAACATATATTGTGCTGAGAATCTTTGTGTGTTAGAGCTGAAAGGGCCCCCTGACTCACAGTAAAGGGTGCACGGAGGAATCTTCTGGGACTTTTATTCAAATCCACATGCCTGGGCCCTCCCCCGTCCCCCACAAGAAGCCAGTTCCCTAAGTCTGTGGTATAGCTGGCCATGGGTCTTCCATAAACTCCCCAAGTGACCCTCAGGTGCCCTAAGTTGTGCACTGCTGATCCGGAGTATACTTTAGTGTTACAGGGGAGGAAAGCAAGGGCCAGAAAAGTTAGGTGTCCGATCCAAGTCCCCCAGCCAACAGTTAGGAAAAGGCACCTGCTTCCTCAGCCCGCACCTTATATAGTAAAATATGCTGCCAGGTTTGCCTGCAAAGTTCAAGGAAGCAAAGTGCTGAAGACTCAGACAGCTCTCATGTCTGCCCGATTCACCTGAACAGGCATAGCGAACAAGCTGAGTGGACAGGCCACAAAGTGGATATTGAAAGAATAGGAGGACCCAGCAAAGGATTTTTAGCTTGAGTGTCATGTGGACTGGCATTTTTCGTATGTACTACAGAAAAAGCAGAGTTTTAAATGGACTATGAGATTTTAATGAACCAAGCAAGTTTGACATTAAACAGTAATGAAAGACATACTCTTTCCAAAAAATACCAGCAATGCAATATGCCCAGGCATTCAGTTAGTCCTTTCTGGATTAAGTCTGCAAACTCAGCTATTTGAGTTGTGAGGCAGGTACATTTAGTTTTCAGTTGGGAAATACATTTAAAATTAACCTTTACCTATTCCCCAGGGTGCCGTTCCTATTAGGTGCTGGGATTTATTTTCCACCACTCTTTATCCCCTTGGCCATTTCCGGAGCAATAATGCCCAGCTGTGGGGAAGGAACCTTTGATTCTGCCTCTTCCATGGTCCTTACTAATTGATATTTAAATGTTTGCATAAGGAATGCCTTGCTCTCACTAGTTCTCTGTAATTAGTTAGCAACTACTTACCATCACCCTTGAGAGTGACATTTCTTTTGCTCTTGCTTTTTACTGCACTCTGAAAAGTATTTCACATATTGATTTTCATTTCAGAATAGGAGCTCCCCACCCATTTGAATTGTTACAACCAGGGTGTAAAGAATGTGAATTTGCATTTGTTTGACAGTGCAATCTTGTAATTAGAGTTTTTCCTCTTGACTAGATACAGTGAAGGGGGCATAATTTAATTTTTATAGACTAGCCAATTTCTGCCCTTAGTAAAATATAGCTCTGTCAGTGAGCAAAATGTTACAGGTTCTCCAAAACCTTATTTAAAAGTTAAATGCAGTATATTGAGAGAAAGTTCATGGTCTGAATCAGTAACCTAATCGATCTCTTCACCCATCCTCTGCAACATACATTAATCTATTTGTCTGTTTTGCAATACAAGAGTTACTGATTTATATGCCATGTTGCATCTGCATTATGGCTGTATAAGCAATGGCGATTTTCCTTTTGGATTACTTAGTTGCTCATTCAGTTTGGTAGGGAGTGCTCCATGCCTTGGATTGGTTAATTTGATGCCTTATTTTCTCATAAACTAAATAAAAGATGGCAAGTGAGGACTCTAAAAGAATCAGTCACCCACTCATGGAAAGATAACCATGGCCTATGTTTTCTTAAGTCTATGCTCTGCTTAATTTCACCAAAATGTAAGTATTAGGCTGTAGCTTGTCATTGGGGTGGGCCAGTTCTGCTAATCAGTATTATATCGCAGACCCTTGACACCTGCATTCTTTTCTAGGTGTGCACCTGCACCCATGCGCACACATCATACCTA